AAAAAAAAACACTAATTCACCTACTTTTTTGTACATCAATCTTTTTTTTTTTTTTTTACTTAAATTAGCTACTTTTTTTCTTTTTTTTTCTTCAAAACGATTATGAAAATACTGTTTTGTTGGTTTCTATTTACAAGTAAATGTACATCTTTTTTTTTCAGCACTTTTATAGTTACTGACTTATTCTTACAGATTACATTGTTCAGATGCTGTTATGGGCTTTGGCTTGACCTGTTGACTAGTTTCAGTTGAATTCTCCAATTTCTACTTCCCTTTCCTGATCTCTTCTTTTCATTTTTTTTTACACTCAATTTCCCTCTTCCTTCCTATCCTTCTTCTTTCCTACCTCTTTCCTTCTTTCACCGTTTTCCGTTGTATAATCGACAAAAACTAATCTGTTAAGCGGGTGAACAAGCACCTAAGCAAAATACAAAAAAAGTATTATGACCAAAAGCTAAGTAACTGTACGTTAAAACTTACTGAGAAACGACAACCATGCAGTTGGGAAAGTATATCGTGAAATTAGATCCACTTTTCTGCTCTGTTCATAGTCTTTACTGAAAATTTTGTTGATGCCTAATGTTTTCCACCATTTTTGCTTCTTATATGTGCTCATTTCTAAACTGAGTGGTGGTCCGGATAACTTGTAACCCTGAAAAAAAAAAAAAGCATATAGCGATTAAGCAGTTAAATATTATTGAAGTGAGGATTAAAAGGAAAAAAAAAGAATAATATAACGGTGCACAGAAACAGAAATGGACTTTTTTTTTAGACTGTGAGAAAACAAAAAAAGAAAACTATAGAAGAGAATAATTTTGTTTTTGATTGCCAGACGAAGAAAACTATTAGAATTCAAATCTAAACATAAATTTTATGTTGAATTCTAATGATTGTTGAAACGAAATTTCTTTATTTTTCTAAGAGCTCAAAAAAAGAAACAAGTTGTTGTGGATAAGTTTCTATAGAATATTGTAAGCATACCGGTGCAAGCAGTTGATTTGGCTGATATACCCGATCCTGAATGGTGGTCATTTTATTTTTTTTCTTTAAAAATTCTTTACGTCCACAATAGTTAACCAATGCATATTCCAACAATGCACCAAAGATGAAACCCAAACAAACACCAATCCATACATCTACAGCTTTAATGTATGATACTGGTGGTAATTTTGCATTAATTCCAGATGCTTGAGTTGTCATCGTCAACAGTGTTGTTACACCAAGCGATACACGTGCCGGTACAGCATCCTACAAAATGGAAGCTGATT